AGCAAGAAGGTCTGATGTAGTAAAAGGCATATGTTGGAATAGAGGAGCTGTGGCTGTTTCTGCTGGATTGTCCTTACTGACAACCAATTGATCTACTTGTCTAAGGGGAGCATTCAAAGATGCTTCCTCAGTCTTTGTCCTTGTTTGTTCGGCTATCAGTCCTCCCACTTCTCTGTCTTCTGTTTGCAGTCCCATCCGTTCCTCTTCTGCCTTGGACCCCCTCAACACCTCTTGCTGAAGGTCCAGTTGGGTCCCTTGATCCTGAACATCTGGTTGGATTATGGCTTGTCCCCAGCTTGTTCTATCTTCTAAACTTTTTAACATAGGGGACAGTTTTGCATTTCTGAATCCATGGTGAAGGTCTTTGCAACAAGCCGAGCCACACATCAATATAGGGTGCCTGGTCTGGGTGCCCTAACATGGGATTGAACACTAACTAATGTACTTTTAGAGCAATGAATGGATCTAGTGTCCCTGTGCTTGGCCAGCCTATGTTAAAGCTGGGCCAATCTACCTTACAGAAGATCTTCAACTTATGCCTGCTCCACTTAATACCATAATCCTGATCCTCATAAGCAGATTTAAAATGCTTTAACATACACCCCAATGGAGTAAGGAGTACACTTTCACCATCACCCCATGAGCATCCCAGGGCACCAGACAAGACAAATGAGGAAAGGGGATGAGAGGAAGGTAAGGGGTCCTTCCACTCGGGATTACACTGAGGGTTTCACTTATACGCACTAGACCCAGGGAGCCGGAAACTCAACGGTCAGCGATGGGAAGTTCGAGCGCCACTCACTCACTGCAAACACACACAACAATCCTCCAACCTTATTCCAAAGAGAGGGTGATCAGTCCTCTCCTCCGTCCCTGCTTACAGGGAGGGATTCCTTATTTCCCTTTCAATACTTGCCTGCAGGCAAATCCTTTGTCCTCTAGCCGGCTGGAAAGTTGCCTGGTCTCCTTACCCTTCACCAGTGGTTCTTGGAGTGGCCGACCGCCAATGCTGGAGCCCTGTGTCACAGGGAAGTCCCTCGGAATAAAAGGTCCGATGGCGCCTGGGATGTTCCCCCTAACACTACAGGCCCCTGGCATCAGGGTGTGCCCTCCAGAAAGCCCCAAGACTCCTTGCCATCCTGCCGCGGTCGCCAGATAATTGTTGTGGAAAAAACCATGATACTTACATCAGAAGACAAGACCGTGAAGGGTTGGAGAAAACAGGCTTTATTTGTGCACAATGGTTCAGAGCATTCACATGACAAATTCTGAACCCTGAGTTACTCTGAGGGTGTCACTTTTATACAGCTTGCCGCCCACGCTTAACCTAATAGATGACTTCTTATCTACCTTTAACACACTAAAACAGAGAAGTTTATATCTTGAGGCTACACAAGGAAAAAGGAGAAGTTCACACAAACGGTTGTCTTACCACACCTTTCTGCACGGGTGCTATCTTACAACATCTGTGACTTTTAGTTGACACTGACACTTCTTGTAAAATGGTTTCTACATAGCATGAACACATCTCTATAATTATGACACAAAGGTTATATGATTTAGGTTACATTTCACAGCCAAACTTAATATTATCTATTAACTATTATCAGCAACAAGTATTCCTATTAAGATATAGATATATTGAACTATTTCCTGCCCACCTCAGAAGGGTGGAATGATGCAGAGGTGGCATGATGAATCATGTTGGCCTGCAAGAAAGCCTGAAACTCGAAAGAAGTGAATTGAGGACCATTGTCCCAGGACATCTGGGAGCCCATGTGCAGCAAAAATCCCTCTCAGTACTTGAATGGTCTTGGCAGCAGTGGTGGAAGAGACAGGTACAACCTTAAGCCACTTTGAATAGCTGTCAACAAGACCAAGAAGAATTGACCCTGAAAGGGCCCAGTGTAATCTACGTGCACCCTAGACCAAGGTGACTGTGTTTCCTCCCATCTATGTAGAGGAGCCTGAGGCATTTCCGGGCGTGAGCGCTGACACAAGTGGCATCCATGCACTTGAGCCTCTATCTCCCTGTCTAACCCTGGCCACCATAAATGGCTGCGCGCAAGTGCCTTCATCCTGACAATGCCAGGATGGCCCTCATGAAGGGAAGCCAAGACCCTAGGTCTCATTGAGGTAGGAATAACAACTCAGCTGCCCCACAACAGACAACCCTGAAAAGTGGATAACTCATGCTTCTTAAGCCAGAAACTCTGAAACTCAGTACCTGGACAACTCTCAGGCCATCCAGACAAGACCCAGGACAATACACGAGTGAGTGTGAGATCCATGGCTGATTAAGCAGCCACATCCCTGGCATTTAAGGGAGATTCAGGCAACACCTGAATGGAAAGAATGTTGATGGCAGGGGCAGGGGCAGCCTCTACCATTTCTAAAGGTAATCTACTAAGGCCATCAGTGTGGCCCATTTCCTTGCCAGGTTTGTGAACCAAGGAAAAGTCATAGGCTGACAGAAAGATGGACCATCTCAGCATTCTAGGGGAGATGATATGGGGAGTTTGTTTGTTTGTAGTAAATAACCCCAACAGAGGCTTATGGTCAGTATAGACCGTGAAGTGTCTGCCATATAGAAAATCATGGAATTTTTTAATTCCAGCAACAATGGCCAAGGCTTCTCTATCTATCTGAGCATAGTTTCGCTCAGCAGAGGACAAGGTTCTGGAGTAATATGCAACAGGAACCTGAGTTCCATCAGTTCTTAAATGGCTAAGTACAGCTCCCACCCCATAAGGGGAAGCATCACAAGCGATGCACACAGGAAGAGTTTCATTAAAATGTGCAAGCACATCATTTGATGTAAGTAAGGCCTTGACCTCATTGAAGCTTTCTTCATGTGCTTGTGACCACTGCCACAATGCCTGTTTGTCTAAGAGACTATGAAGTGGCTCAGCTACATTAGCTTTGTTAGGTATGAATGCATTGTAAAATTCAAGAGGCCCAGAAAAGCTTGTAATTCAGCTTTAGACTTAGGCCTAGGAGCTTGCAGTATAGCCTTTAATTTAGACTCTAAGGTGAATGCCCCTGGCATCTATTCTGAATCCCAGGAAATCTGTAGAAGACACTCCAATTTTGCATTTGTCTTTTTTAAGCTTGAGACCTGTTTTCCTGAAACGCAGCAGAACAGCCCTCAATCTCTCAGCTAAATTTTGAGTGGATTCTCCTGCTATTAGGACATCATCAAAATAGGGGCAAACCCCTGGTATACCTCTCAGGGTGTTTTCCATTACACTTTGGAAAATTCCAGGAGCTACATTTACTCCAAATTGTAGTCTTTTGACTTTGAATGCCCCCCTATGAGTTACAATAGTCTGTGCTTCAGCAGCAGCTTCATCAACAGGTAAATGTTGATAAGCCTGTGCTAAATCCAGCTTTGCAAAAACACGCCCCCCCCCCCTTTGAGGGAGGCCAAAATGTGGCTGATTACAGGTACAGGATATGCATGCTGTTGCAATGCCTTGTTTAGAGTGCATTTGTAATCTGCACAGATGCGAATGTCCCCATTAGCCTTGAGAGGCGTGACTATGGGAGTTTCCCATGGACTTGAGTCAAAGGTTCTAAGACACCTTGCTGAATCAATTTGTCCAATTCAGCATCAATTTTCCCTTTCAAAGCTAAGGGTACTCTCCTTGCTTTCACTCTAATGCAGTGGTTCTAAACCTTTTTAATGCCGTGACCCCCAATCGGTCGTAAGTCGAGGACTACTCAACCGGTCGTAAGTCGAGGACTACTCAACTGGTGCAGCACCGTTTGCAGAATGGGACTTTTGGCAGGTTTAGCAGGGCAGAGACAGCCTGGACAATTCCTATTGGCTTTTGAAAGCCAATAGAATTAGACTCTATTCAAGAGAGTCTATTCTATTGGCTTTCAAAATCCAATAGAATAAAAGGGAGTAGCACAGCTAAGGAAAAGGGGAAAAAAATGGCAGACTGCGTTGTTTGGTGACCCCCCATGAAATGGTCGTTCGACCGCAAATGGGGTCCCACAGGTTGAGAACCACTGCTCTAATGGGAGTGACAGTGGGGTCCAGTTTCAAGGAAACTGGGGGGCCTTTGTATGCTCCCAGCTGGGGGCTGAAGACATCTGCAAATTCTTTGCAGACTTCTTGTAGACCTAATGTCTGCAAATTGTGAAGCCCTGTAACTTGTATTCCCAAGGCTTCAAACCAATCGAGTCGAATGAGACTCATGCATTCACCCCCAACTACCAATACATCTAATGGACCTTCAAAATCCTTGTATTGTACTTTAAGGGTGGCCTCCCCCTTAACACACACCTTGGAATTTTGGAAGTCTGTTAAGACTATATTGGATGGCCTAAGCTTGGCCTGGAACCCACTGCTAGAGCACATCTTTCTGAAAGTGTGAATAGAAATGATTGAATGGGCAGACCCAGTGTCCAGTTCCATAACCAATGGAACTCCTTGCAACTTCACCTTAAGTGACAGTTTCTTTTTAAGTGGCCTGTGTGTGCCTGTCCTAAAACTTTGAAGTCCAACAATAAAAACTGTAACTGAGCTTTGGGGGGGGGGGAGGTGGAACTTGGAATTGGCAAGAGCTACCAAATCTATGTATCTTATTTTCCAAAGAATGCATACAGTTTCACTGAATGATGGGGAAAATGCACTCTAAGAAACATATTTCTAAAAAAAAAAATAGAATTCATGAATAGACTGAAATAAAATATAAACCTTAAAAGTTTCTGCTAGTTGCAAAGTTCCATATTAATTTAATCAGAAATTGTCTTTATCCCTTTGGGCATCAATTTTCCTATGAAGAATAATATACATTGAAAACTAACCCTAAAGAAATAGAAAACTCATTCCAGTCAAAATTGTTAAAACATTTTTGTTAAAAGGATAATGGTATAATATTTAGTATACTGTATCTTTCTTCATTCTGGTTCCCTTCTGGATGTGTTGAATTCGAAATTCAATAAACCCAAGTCTTCCTGGCAATAGATTGGATAAGCCTAGCTGAATATGTGTTTGATTTTTTTATTAAAATAATATGGAAATAGCTATTATTAACATTGCAAATATGATAATCATGGATGCAAAAACCATCTGGATAAAATACCAGGCTTATGATACAATAGCGTGATTGTTTACAATATTAATCTGCACCCAATTAATATATGATAACCTTCAAAAGCATGAGAACCCAGAAGCCAACCTTTAAAAAAACTGTAGAAATATATTGATTTTCACTAATATTCTTCTTCTTTAGAAACAACAGTCATAAAACAAAGTCATTATCTCAGGGCATTTATGAGCTCCTTGATCACTCCAAATCACATAAATCATAAACAATATTGTCCTAGTTTGGCAGGCTAATTGAACAGATGGATCTCCTTTTCCACAAAATAAAGTTGGATTTGGATATTTTCAAGTTTGTAAAGATAATAACTAAAACTATATATTAAAAAAATCACAGACGTATAAGCATATTAAACGCTTATAAGTTTGAAAATTCAGAACTGACCACAATCTTTATTTTTGTTGAACTGTGAACTAATATAATCTTTATAGTAAGATTATATAATAGTGTATCACAGGGGTTCTCAACCTGTGGTCAGCAGACCCCTGGGGAGGCGTGATGTCATCACAGGGGGTCCGCGAAGGCTGGAAAAATGTTATGATTTAAATATTGAATTAGGTTTTGGGGATCTTGGGAGCCTGTGGTCCTTTAAATGTTTAAAGGGAGTCAGTGGTGAAGAAAAGGTTGAGAACCACTGTTGTACCAAATTTACAAACTTCTGATTTTTACTATCCATAGTGATAAAGATTTTTGAACCTGTGATGTGTAAAAATCATAATTGTGATTTAAGGTTACCAGGAACTTCTCCTTGTTGATTGCTAGCAAATATATTTTTTTCCTTACTGATGTTCTTCCTTTTTGGAAATGGCAATGCTTGTAATGAAATTGTCCATTAAATGTATCTAGGATTATTCCCTTTAAAAATCCATATGTTGCCCACGGATTTGGTTGCAGCATCTTTCACCTCCTTATTCCTCAGACTATAGATGAGAGGGTTGAACATGGAGACCACAACTGTGTAGAACAATGAGGCCCATTTGTCCTGGTCCATGGAATAGCTGGAGCTGGGCCGAGAGTACATGAAGAGTATTGTCCCATGGTATATGCCAACAGCTGTCAGGTGAGAGCCGCAGGTGGAAAACGCTTTGTGCCTGCCTTCAACAGAGCGCATTCTCAGGACTGTACTCAAAATATAAGCATAGGATACAAGAATCATAGCTATGCTGCTTACTTCAACAAAGCTAGCAAGGAAAATTATCACTATTTCACTGATGTATGTATCTGAACAGGAGATCATTAAGAGTGGAGGTATGTCACAGAAGAAATGATTGATAACATTTGACCGGCAGAATATCAGTCGAAATATTGGGGATGTGTATATTATTGTATCCATTAGGCCTATGCAATATGCAACAGCAATCATTTGTTGGCAGACCTTTTTGGACATGATAGCCGGATAGAGAAGTGGATTGCAGATGGCCACATATCTGTCATAGGCCATCATAGCCAACAAAATACTCCCTGTAACTTCAAATGCAGCAATCAGAAAGATCTGTGTAGCACAAGCACCAAATGAAATTCTTTTTCCTTCAACCAACAAGTCAATCAGCATTTTTGGAGAAATGGCTGAAGAGCAGCAGAGATCAACAAAGGAGAGGTTGCCCAGGAAGTAATACATGGGTTTGTGAAGTTGGGTGTTAGTGGAAATCAACAGAATCATCCCAACATTCCCTAAGACAGAGATAGCATAAACAAAGAGGAAGATTGTAAAAAGTAAAAACTGCATTCTGGGATTGCCTGTGAATCCCTGAAGAATGAATTCAGTAATGACAGATTCATTTTTGTTGTCCATGATTTTCCTCTGTGGGCACTGGGTTCGTGATATTAGCTGATCCTCAAATGTCTTTCTGATCCTTTGTTAGGGTAAAGAAAATTGCGTTATTCAGGGCTTCATTCATGTTTCTCTCTTCATAAAACAACTGGACATTTTCTTTGAGGATTTTATCATATCTACTACCGTATATCGTATATTTGCTAGCAAGAAAACTTTTATTATATAGAATAATACATTTTTTAAAAATCTAGTTGATGAAAATTCAGTATGAAGCATGTTATATACAAACTCATTTACACACTGCCATCTAAGTGAAGGCTACGGAATAATGTACCACGATATTGCTATATCTATTGCTGTAAACTATATGTCAAACTCTAATGTATTTCTAGCTGTTGGGGTCTCTATTTCTCCCTTCCCAATTTAGAAACCTTCCACTATATTCTGGAAAAGGGGACTTAATGCTAGATTCCTGTTTATTTCAGCTCCCTTTTCAGTAGAGTAGGAGTTGACCAGAAATGTAGTAGGTGAATTTCCCATCCAATTCATTCCCCCCTTTTATTGTTTAGGGTCTATTAAATATATTAAAACAGGAAAAGCATTAAACAAAATTCAATAAGTAGCATTAGAAAGTGTTCCAATTCCATTTGGAATATACGACATAATATTGGCACAATGCTAATGATGATAGAAAGCAGAGCTGATTGTTGATTGTTGACATGAAAAATACTTATGGAGCCCCTGTGATGACCTCCTAAAGTTGGGAAGTGAAGTAAGGAGAAATAATGGTTCCATAAGGAATACTTAAATATTCTTTTATTTGGGGACAGTAACCTCAGTTGATTCCTTTTGCAGTCCTGCCTTCCACTGATGCATGAATTTTGATGCTATTTGCTTTGATTGCAAAGTTGTGTTGATGTCTTATTGTCAACTTTCTTCTACACTGCATTGTAACAAAGGAGCTCAAAAGTAGAGTGATTCAAAAAGTAGTGTTCTTAAGTGGGAGACCATGAGCATGCACACTGTATGGAAAGGACAAATCTACATGTGAAGTCATTGCACATTGAAGCTTAGACCTTTACTGTATAGAAAATGATTGGAAGGAAAATCGAGTCATGCTAAACCATTTCCCTAAACTCAATGATTTTTTTTTTAAAAATCATTGTTGTATACTGCCCAGAGCCACAATTTGATGAGATGGGTAGCCATGAAAATATGATAAATAAAACTGTTTCCTTAGTTCTCACTTTACCCTTATATCAAAACTGGCCACCACACAAATATCTGATCAAAAGAAGCCAATTAATATACTTGTGCTTTCTAAGCAAGAAATGGAGTAACAAAAAAATTAAATGAGAAGCTTAAGTCCATTGCAACTTTACTTAAAGGTTTATGGACTTTGATATATAATCTGATATATAGTTTAAGAATGGGAAGTTAAATATGCATTTCAAATCATGAAGAGCCTTATCGGTAGCTTCAGTTTACTCTCTGTTTACCTTTAAGTGAAAGTAATTTTACTATCTTCTGTTAAATATGGAAATCAAATTCTGTTCTTATAGAGGCATTATGATATGCAAAGCTGAGATTAGATACTGAGAAATTGAATTAACCTCTAAGAAGTATTCTAAACCTTGGCATTGGTGAAGAACCATAAATGCACTGAAGATCAAAAATTAAGCTTTCTCTTTAATATGATTTGGAAATGTCTTAGGATTCCATGTGAATTGTTACTGTTAATATAGATATGCAGTGTGTAATGGCAAAAAGTCTGGGGAGAGCCTATTTGGTTTAGTGGTTAAGACACCAGGCTAAAAACCAAGAGACTCTGATTTCTAGTCCTGCCTTAGGCATGAAAACTGGCTGGGTGAGTTTAGGTTAGTAGCTTGCTCAACGCACAATGTGAGGCTCAGGCACAAGCTGGTGGGTCAGTTCTTGTTGCAATCAATGGATCAACACACTCCATTGATCTGGAAAAAAAAGCATAAGAGCCAGAAATCAGAGGTGCTAAAACTTTGAAGTCCAACATCAAACATTGTAATTGAGCATTGGGATGGGGTGAGGTGGGGTGGAATATGGAATTGGCAAGAACCACCAAACCTATGTGTCTTATTTTCCAAAGAATGCATACAGTTTCACTGAATGATGGGGAAAATGCACCCTAAGAAACATATTTCTAAGAAAAAAATAGAATTCATGAATAGACTGAAATAAAATATAAACCTTAAAAGTTTCTGCCAGTTGCAAAGTTCCATATTAATTTAATCAGAAATTGTCTTTATCCCAGACTTCCGGCTGTGACGTCATCGTGGAACGGGTGAAGGAACATATCTCTGTTCCTAAGTCCCGGCAAATCTTCGCCAAGAGCCCAGCAAGGGCTTTGCCAATCCCGGAGAGGTCGCTAAATTAAAGAGGAAGCTTCAGAGAAGTCGGGTGGAAAGCAAACACCCGAGCAGAATGAAGCAGCACTCTTAAAATTGGCGGAGATGAAACCGGTCTTTCAAACCGGCGTGGAGCAATGGCAGCAGCCCAAGAGGGAGTGAAAATTGAACCGACAGTTTTGTAACAGGAGACGAGGAAACCCCTGAAGGAGGTGAGAATCATTTGGCTGACAGAAGGAGCAGGAAAAGTAAAGCTATATGGAGAAAAAGACAGCGGCAACTGAATTGAAACATATGGACTTTGATATATAACCTGATATATTGTTTAAGAATGGGAAGTGAAATATACTTTCTGATGCATTTCAAATCATGAAGAGCGTTATCGGTAGCTTCAGTTTACTCTCTGTTTACCTTTAAGTGAAAGTAATTTTACTATCTTCTGTTAAACATGGAAATCAAATTCTCTTCTTATAGAGGCATTATGATATGCAAACTGAGATTAGCCACTGAGAAATTGAATTAACCACTGAGAAGTATCCAAAATGATGACATTGGGAAGAACCATAAATGCACTGAAGATCAAAAATTAAGCTTTCTTTTTAATATGATTTGGAAATTTCTTATGTTAATATAAATATGCAGTGTGTAATGGCAAAAAGTCTAGAGAGAGCCTATTTGGTTTAGTGGTTAAGACACCAGGCTAAAAACCAAGAGACTCTGATTTCTAGTCCTGCCTTAGGCATGAAAACTGGCTGGGTGACTTTAGGTTAGTTGTTTGCTCAATGCACAATGTGAGGCTCAGGCACAAGCTGGTGGGTCAGTTCTTACTGCAATCAATGGATCAACACACTCCATTGATCTGGAAAAAAAAAAGCATATCCTGTACTTATGGGGAAAACACTAGGAAGGAAGGAAGAAAAAAGAAAAAATGGCAAAAAGTCTAAGTTTAATACAAACATAAATCTTTTTCTAAATTAACATACCTGGAGTCAAGTCAGTGGCTTCGCTGCTTTTACAAAACCTGCAAATACGGGCAGAGATCTTAAATGTGTTTTCATCCCACCTGGGATAATATCCCTGATGCATTTCAATACTCTGGATGGTGGAGATAAGTGGTTGTTTTTTCACAGTTTCTGGTGATAGTTTTAATTGGGGGAATCTTAGAGTAAAAAGTACAATTCCTCTTAAAGGTTCTTTTTTTTTAATTTTTTTAATGATTTTATTAAATACAAAAAAAGAAAAGTTAAAAACCATTGAACATAGTGTATCATCTTTGACATGTATCTTTGTCTGATCATTCCATACTGTACATATACATTATACATTTCTAATAGTCTTTCTCTACTTATATCCCTTCTAACAACTTCCTTTCTCGCCTCTCCATTTGTAAAATTTATTCCAAATTAGGTAATATTCTGTTTCCTCCTGATTTTTTAATTCTTTAGTCATCTTATCCAATTCTGTGCAATATAATTTTTTTCTTATTAGCGCATCTCCACTAGGCACTTCAGTTGCTTTCCAATTTTGGGCAAACAAGATTCTTGCTGCCATAATCACGTATAATTAAATATATATCATCTTTATTTATATTTTTTCTAATATTCCTAGTAGTAGCATCTCTGGTTTATATTGGATTTTTTGACCCGTCATTCTGTTATCCATTTCCAAACCTTAAGCCAATAAACCTGCACTTCTTTACAAGCCCACCAAACGTGGAAGAAAGTACTCTTTTCCCTTTTGCACTTTCAACAGAGTGGTGAGTAACCACTATACATGTTTGCAAGCCTAGCCGGTGGCAAATGCCATCTATAAAGCATCTTATAAAGATTTTTCCTTATAAATTGTTGCCAATGTAATTTTATTTTTACGTTCCCAAATTTGCTGCCATTGCGGTTATTACATTTAGAAAGTTCTTACCGACATCCATTAATTTCAATTGTTGAGTCAAAAATAACCAATTGACATTATCAAATGCCTTATGTGCGTCCAGAAACAGAAGTGCCAGTTGGCGATCACTATGCAATTCGTAAAATTAAAGAAAGTCTCTAATTGTCCTTATATTCTGCTTAATCTGCCTGTCCGGTAGAAAACCGTTTTGGTCACAATGTATGAAGTCAATTAAATAATTTTTAAATCTCTCTGCCATTTTTGACGGAAAGATCTTATAATCGGCGTTTAGTAAGGAGGTAGGTCTGAGGTTTTGTATCAGTTTTTTTCCATATCTTCTTTTGGTATTAATACTATATTTGCCTCTGACCAGGATTTAGGTATTTTAGCTTCAGTTAAAACGGCATTGAAAACTTCTAATAGGTATTGGTTGAGTACATTTTGTTGCTCTTTATACAGCTCCGCTGGTATTCCATCTGGGCCTCCTGCCTTATTGTTCTTTTGTTTACTTATAGCCTTAGTTATTTCAATCATTCTTATTTCCTTGTTTAGCATAATTTTTATTTCCTCTGGTATCTTCGTTGTATCTGCCTTTTCCAGATATTCTATTATTCTTTCTGCACTTTGTCCCTCACACCTCTTATATAATTATTCATAATATCTTTGAGCAATTCCCCTTTTAGTGATCTCATCATGTTGAATCTCTCCTTTCTCATCTTGCAGGTTAATAATCTGTTGCTTCTCTTTCTGTTTTCTCAATTTATACGCCAACTGTTGAGTCCTCGAGTCAACAGTGAAGGACTACAGCACATTCTATAATTCCAACAGTCCTTTATTTTAAGTAGTTCTCTCTCTGTCACAGCTCTGAGGCTCACAGGCCTCTCTGACTTCTTTAATAGCATCCCCGAGCAAAAAGGTAACATTCTGGCACGCTTCTGCACCTCGCGCATGCGCGTGAAGCCAGTGCCACTTAGTCTGGTCCCGGGCAGCTTGCAACTGCCCAGGACCATTGCAACGTCCCGAGTCTGCCTTTGCAGGCTCAGGACACAACACCCCTTCCACCCTGGATGAGACTTATTAACTATATAGGTAGTTATACGCGACCTCAACACGAGCGTTGTGTGCCAACCCAAAACCTGCACATCCATTGCAGCTGTGCACTAGCCACCCCACAAATGATATTGGGCTATTGTTTTGGAATTAACTACCCAATACTCACACTCCCAGTTTTTTCCAACAACAGCAGGCACCCTCTCACTTTCCTTGCTTTGACAGCAGGGTTACAAAGTCCTCAAGATACTTGGGAGAACTTTTTACTCTCTGTGACCTCCTCAGGTTCTGAGAACTCCTACTTCCTCTTGTGCAGAGGATGAAGTGTAGTTGCCCCCTCTTTCAAACCCTGGGGGTTCCCGTGAACTGTGTCCCGTTGCCTGGTCTGCTTGCTTGCCCACCGGGCTCGTCAGACCAGGACTTTGCTCCCCCATGAACCTGGTTGACCTGCCTAACTGTAGGCTCTCGGGCCCTTCTGTATGCCTGCCAATGTTTGGCATTTCTGTAGAACTCTCCAAGTCCACAATGGACCTATCAAGGGAACGCATCCCTTCACTCCCAAGCCCCGTAACGGGATTGTCTGGGGTTTCTGCAGTGTCCCAATATTCAGTTGCCCCCCAATCTATGCCAGAGGTGCCAGAATTGGGATTTGCCTCCCTGACCACCTCCCTGTGTGAAGACTTCCTTTTGGAAGCAGTAGCAGTACTGGACCAACTTGACTGTTTGTGTGCCAGTTCTCTTGCAATGTTTGGGTTATTAGGATGCTCGCGGTTAGTCTCCCTGACTGGAGTACTGAATGGTAGTTGTGAATGATGAGTATGCCCCCTGGGTGACTCCCTGGCTGGAGTAGGCACTGGTGCCTGTATTGTTTCTTGTTCCCCTGAATTCCTGTTTGGAACATTTGCGGAACCCTGGAACAGGCCGTCTTCAGCCTCTCCGTTTGGCCCCGGCTGCTGCCAACACCCTTCCCTTTGCCCATAGTGGTCCCCCTCCCCCCTGGAGAAAGCTCAGGAGTTGCAGAGGGTCCAGTCTCGTACGCAGCTGATTGATATGCCGCCGAAGGACACGACCGTCATTCAAGGAGACCTCATAGGACAATGGACCAGTAACCTTGCATACTACGGCAGGAACCCACAAGTGACTGGGCCCGTAGTTCCAGGTCCATACTGGGGCACCCACTTGCAGAAACTGTGGTGCCCTGGGTTGGGTGACCTTAGGAGGCAGTCTGTCTGGGTGCAACCTGTCAAGTTTGGTGATCAGTTTGCGCCCCCAACAGAGTTCAGCTGGGCTCTTCCCAGTGGAAGTTGAAGGTGTGGTGTAGTAAGCAAGAAGAAAGTCTTCCAGGTGTGGTGCCAGTCCACGTGGGTCAGTTTCTTTAGCGCATTCTTGGTGATGCAGACCATCCGCTCAGCCATACCGTTGGTGGAATGGTGGAATGATGCAGAGGTGGCATGACGAATCATGTTGGCCTTCAAGAAAGCCTGAAACTCGAAAGAAGTGAATTGAGGACCATTGTCAGACACCAGGACATCTGGGAGCCCATGTGCAGCAAAAATCCCTCTCAACAGGAACAGGAACAGGAACCTGAGTTCCATCAGTTCTTAAATGGCTAAGTACAGCTCCCACCCCATAAGGGGAAGCATCACAAGCGATGCACACAGGAAGAGTTTCATTAAAATGTGCAAGCACATCATTTGATGTAAGTAAGGCCTTGACCTCATTGAAGCTTTCTTCATGTGCTTGTGACCACTGCCACAATGCCTGTTTGTCTAAGAGACTATGAAGTGGCTCAGCTACATTAGCTTTGTTAGGTATGAATGCATTGTAAAATTCAAGAGGCCCAGAAAAGCTTGTAATTCAGCTTTAGACTTAGGCCTAGGAGCTTGCAGTATAGCCTTTAATTTAGACTCAGCAGGGTGAATGCCCCGGCATCTATTCTGAATCCCAGGAAATCTGTAGAAGACACTCCAATTTTGCATTTGTCTTTTTTAAGCTTGAGACCTGTTTTCCTGAAACGCAGCAGAACAGCCCTCAATCTCTCAGCTAAATTTTGAGTGGATTCTCCTGCTATTAGGACATCATTAAAATAGGGGCAAACCTCTGGTATACCTCTCAGGTGTTTTCCATTACACTTTGGAAAATTCCAGGAGCTACATTTACTCGAAATTGTAGTCTTTTGACTTTGAATGCCCCCCTATGAGTTACAATAGTCTGTGCTTCAGCAGCAGTTTCATCAACAGGTAAATGTCAATAAGCCTGTGCTAAATCCAGCTTTGCAAAAACACGCCCCCCTTTGAAGGAGCCCAAAATGTGGCTGACTACAGGTACAGGATATGCATGCTGTTGCAATGCCTTGTTTAGAGTGCATTTGTAATCTGCACAGATGCGAATGTCCCCATTAGCCTTGAGAGGCGTGACTATGGGAGTTTCCCATGGACTTGAGTCAACAGGTTCTAAGACACCTTGCTGAATCAGTTCGTCCAATTCAGCATCAATTTTCCCTTTCAAAGCAAAGAGTACTCTCCTTGCTTTCACTCTAATGGGAGTGACAGTGGGGTCCAGTTTCAAGGAAACTGGGGGGCCTTTGTATGCTCCCAGCTGGGGGCTGAAGACATCTGCAAATTCTTTGCAGACTTCTTGTAGACCTAATGTTTGCAAATTGTGAAGCCCTGTAACTTGTATTCCCAAGGCTTCAAACCAATCGAGTCCAATGAGACTTGTGCATTCACCCCCAACTACCAATATATCTAATGGACCTTCAAAATCCTTGTATTATACTTTAAGGGTGGTCTCCCCCTTAACACACACCTTGGAATTTTGGAAGTCTGTTAAGACTATATTGGATGGCCTAAGCTTGGCCTGGAACCCACTGCTAGAGCACATCTTTCTGAAAGTGTGAATAGAAATGATTGAATGGGCAGACCCAGTGTCCAGTTCCATAACCAATGGAACTCCTTGCAACTTCACCTTAAGTGACAGTTTCTTTTTAAGTGGCCTGTGTGTGCCTGTCCTATAAATGCTTCTACGTGATGCACAGAAACTCACCCTGTTTTGGCTTGGGACCCTGGTACCTTTCAGGCGCAATTCTTCTCGGGGTTGTACCTTCTGATGGCCCAGACACACAGCTGCTATGTGGCCTTGCTTTCCACATGCTCTACAGAACGGAACCTGCAGTCAGTCCTCTTGTGGCGACCTCCACACCCAAAGCACTTGGGTACAGCTGAAGACTTTTCTTCGCCTTCCTTCTGCTTCCTTTCTTTGGCTGGGTAGAGATGATCCACCTCATCTTCAGGATCTTCTTCCGAGCTCTCCTGGATTCCCTCATGGTGCACAGAGATGGCCTCTGGGTTGTTCCTGATAGGCCTCATATTCTTGACTGCCTCACCTGCTGCCTCTTCTGTAGTGACCTCTCTCAAGGCATCTTTGAATGAAATGTTCTCCTTTGCAAAGAGTCTCTGTTGCAAGTCTCTGTTCCTAAGCCCACATACAAATCGGTCTCTCAACCTTCCTTCTAAGTCTTTAAAATCACAAGGCTTAGCTGCTCTTCTCAAGGCTGCAATGTATTCTTTAGCTGATTCACCAGCTCTTTGATCCCTCTGTTCAAAACTGTGTCTCCACGCAACAACAACTTGGGCTGAAAATGTTCCTTCAATAATTTTTTAAAATCTGTATAAGTGACAGATTCAAGAGGAGCAGGGGCTGCCAAATTTTCAGCAATTTCAAATGCATCTTGACCACAGACACACAGCAAAGTAGCGGCCTTCAAGCCATCTTCTCTTACTTGATTTACTCTAAAGTAATTTTCTACTCTGGCAACATAAGACTCCCATCTTTCTGGGTGCATGACATTGAATTCAGACAGTCTCCCTATCTTCGCCATTCTTGCTTCTATGTTAGGAAGGGGTCTATCAGCCAGCTTACCTCCAGCAACGCTGTACTGGTAGGCCAGGTGCTGAGTTTAACGCTGTCTTCCTCTCTCCAGGACTCTTCGGGTAAGCTTACAATTCTTCTTTTTTGTTTTTGTAAGCCATCCCACCTTCATCGCCAGTGTTGGGTCCTTGAGTCAATGGCGAATGAATACAGCACATTCTATAATTCCAACAGCCCTTTATTTTAAGTAGTTCTCTCTCCGTCAAAGCTCACAGGCCTCTCTGACTCTTTAATAACATCCCCGGGCAAAAAGGTAACATTCTGGCGCGCTTCCGCGCCTCGCGCATGCGCATGAAGCCGGCGCCACTCGGTCTGGTCCCGGGTAGCTTGCAACTGCCCGAGACCATTTCAACATCCCGAGCCTGCCTTTGCAGGCTCAGGACACAACACCAACCATCTTCCAGGTTTATTCACATGTTCAAAATTGTGTTGCTTGGCGACCTTGTTGTGCTAGCTTTTCCGAGTCTTCTATGCAAAGTTTATGTTTGATTAAGTCCATTTTATTTTTCAATCCTTTATTGTTTAGGTCACCCTGATATTGTATTTCAGCCTGTTTGTATTCTTCCTCAGGCCTTATCCTGTATTACTTTTTATCCTTATTTCTCTTAGCCATATATGAGATTGCAACTCCCTTCATGTATACTTTGGCTGTGTCCCAAATATTCTGCAGGGATGTATCCCCATTTTTGTTCACTTGAAAAAAAAGGTGCATTTTTTTCTCCATCTTTTCCTTAAATTCTTTTTCTCTAAGGATCGCTCTTTGAAGAGTCCATCTTGGCTGACTCCTCTGCCCTTTTGAGCAAAAACCTATGGGATTGTGGTCTGCCCAAAGACTAGGTTCTATATTAATTCCTTGAATTACCGAGTCTAATTCTTTTGAAAGCTCTTAAAGTTTCTTTTTGATGGCTGTACTATATAATTAGATTAAACTCTCTAGCTCTAATGTTATTTCTGCACATATCACATCTCCATGATTCCACTAGTGGCAGAGGTAGTCCTTGAGTTACGACTGGTCACTTAAAGGCCATACAAACTTCCAACAGATCTAACGTATCTTGGGGGTACTTATGACTTGGATTTGATGTTCTGATGGTCGCCTCTCCCTTTTCAGTCACCTGACCGCACTTTGGGTACTTGGCAACTGGGCTACATTTACGGCTGTTTGCAGTGTCTTACAGCCATATGAAACATTTTACAGCCGTTTTGCTGAAACTGGCATTTATTTCCAGTTTTTGGCAAAACTGCATCCATGGTGAATTATTGTTGTGATTCACTTAATAAGTGCTGCAAAGAAGATCATAAAATCAATTTGGTCACATGGACAAGGCAAGCTTTATTACTAGCCGATCTTGCATTAAGAAGTAAGAGCCAGAAATCAGAGGTGCTAAAACTTTGAAGTCCAGCATTAAACACTGTAATTGAGCATTGGGGGGGGGGGGAAGGTGGAACATGGAATTGGCAAGAGCTACCAAACCTATGTGTCTTATTTTCCAAAGAATGCATACAGTTTCACTGAATGATGGGGAAAATGCACTCTAAGAAACAGATTTCTAAGAAAAAAATAGAATTCATGAATAGACTGAAATAAAATATAAACCTTAAAAGTTTCTGCTAGTTGCAAAATTCCATATTAATTAATCAGAAATTGTCTTTATCCCTTTGGGCATCAATTTTCCTATGAAGAATAATATACATTCAAAACTAACCCTAAAGAAATAGAAAACTCATTCCAGTCAAAATTGTTAAAATGTTTTTGTTAAAAGGATAATGGTATAATATTTAGTATACTGTATCTTTCTTCATTCTGATTCCATTCTGGATGTGTTGAATTCCAAATCCAATAAACCCAAGTCTTCCTGGCAATAGATTGGATAAGCCTAACTGAATATATGTTTGATTTTTTATTGAAATAATATGGAAATAGCTATTATTAACATTGCAAATATGATAATCACAGATCCAAAAACCATCTGGATAAAATACCAGGCTTATGATACAATAGCATGATTGTTTACAATATTAATCTGCACCCAATTAATATATGATGACTCTCAAAAGCACCAGAACACAGAAGCCAACCTTTAAAAAAACTGTACAAATATATTGATTTTCACTAATATTCTTCTTCTTTAGAAACAACAATCATAAAACAAAGTCATTATCTCATGGCATTTATGAACTCCTTGATCACTCCAAATCACATAAATCATAAACAATATTGTCCTAGTTTGGCAGACTAATTGAAATTGTCCATTAAATGTATCTAGGATTATTCCCTTTAAAAATCCATATGTTGCCCATGGATTTGGTTGCAGCATCTTTCACCTCCTTATTCCTCAGACTATAGATGAGAGGGTTGAACATGGAGACCACAACTGTGTAGAACAATGAGGCCCATTTGTCTTGGTCCATGGAATAGCTGGAGCTGGGTCGAAAGTACGTGAAGAGTATTGTCCCATGGTATATGCCAACAGCTGTCAGGTGAGAGCTGCAGGTGGAAAACGCTTTGTGCCTGCCTTCAACAGAGTGCATTCTCAGGACTGTACTCAAAATATAAGCATAGGATACAAGAATCATAGCTATGCTGCTTACTTCAACAAAGCTAGTAACGACAATTATCACTATTTCACTGTTGTATGTATCTGAACAGGAGATCATTAAGAGTGGAGGTGTGTCACAGAAGAAATGATTGATAACATTTGACCGACAGAATATCAGTCGAAATATTGAGGATGTGTATATTGTTGTATCCATTAGGCCTATGCAATATGCAACAGCAATCATTTGTTGGCAGATCTTTTTGGACATAATAGCTGGGTAGAGAAGTGGATTGCAGATGGCCACATATCTGTCATAGGCCATCATAGCCAACAAAACACATCCTGTAACTTCAAATGCAGCAATCAGAAAGATCTGTGTAGCACAAGCACCAAGTGAAATTCTTTTTCCTTCAACCAACAAGTCAATCAGCAATTTTGGAGAAATGGCTGAAGAGCAGCAGAGATCAACAAAGGAGAGGTTGCCCAGGAAGTAATACATGGGTTTGTGAAGTTGGGTGTTAGTGGAAATCAACAGAATCATCCCAACATTCCCTAAGACAGAGATGGCATAAACAAAGAGGAAGATTGTAAAAAGTAAAAACTGCATTCTGGGATTGCCTGTGAATCCCTGAAGAATGAATTCAGTAATGACAGATTCATTTTTGTTGTCCATGATTTTCCTCTGTGGGCACTGGGTTCATGATATTAGCTGATCCTCAAATGCCTTTCTGATCCTTTGTTAGGGTAAAGAAAATCGCGTTATTCAGGACTTCATTCATGTTTCTCTCTTCATAAAACAAGTGGACATTTTCTTTGAGGATTTTATCATATCTACTACCGTATATTGTATATTTGCTAGCAAGAAAACTTTTATTATATAGAATAATACATTTTTTAAAAATCTAGTTGATGAAAATTCAGTATGAAGCATGTTATATACAAACTCATTTACACACTGCCATGTAAGTGAAGGCTACAGAATAATGTACCACGATATTGCTATATCTATTGCTGTAAACTATATGTCAAACTCTAATGTATTTCTAGCTGCTGGAATCTCTATTTCTCTCTTCCCAATTTAGAAACCTTCCACTATATTCTGGAAAAGGGGACTTAATGCTAGATTCCTGTTTATTTCAGCTCCCTTTTCAGTAGAGTAGGAGTTGACCAGAAATGTAGTAGGTGAATTTCCCACCCAATTCATTCCCCCCTTTTATTGTTTAGGGTCTATTAAATATATTAAAACAGGAAAGGCATTAAACAAAATTCAATAAGTAGCATTACAAAGTGTTTGCTTCAATTCCATTTGGAGTTTATGACATAATATTGGCACAATGCTAATGATGATAGAAAGCAGAGCTGATTGTTGATTGTTGACATGAAAAATACTTATGGAGCCCCTATGATGACCCCCTAAAGTTGGGAAGTGAACTAAAGAGAAATAGTGGTTCTATAAGGAATACCTAAACATTCTTTTATTTGGGGACAGTAACCTCAGTTGATTCCTTTTGCAGTCCTGACTTCCATTGATGCATAAATTTGCTTTGATTACAAAGTTGTATTGATGTCTTATTGTCAACTTTCTTCTAGACTGCATTGTAACAAAGGAGCTCAAAAGTAGAGTGATTCAAAAAGTAGTGTTCTTAAGTGGGAGACCCATGAGCATGCACACTGTATGGAAAGGAAAAATCTACATGTGAAGTCATTGCACATTGAAGCTTAGACCTTTACTGTATAGAAAAAGATTGGAATGAAAATTGAGTCATGCTAAACCATTTCCCTAAACAAAATGATTTTTTTTTAAAAAAATCATTGTTGTATACTGCCCAGAGCCACAATTTGATGAGATGGGTAGCCATAAAAATATGATAAATAAAACTGTTTCCTTAGTTCTCACTTTACCCTTATATCAAAACTGGCCACCACACAAATATCTGATCAAAAGAAGCCAATTAATATACTTGTGCTTTCTAAGCAAGAAATGGAGTAACAAAAAATTAAATGAGAAGCTTAAGTCCATTGCAACTTTACTTAAAGGTTTATGGACTTTGATATGCATTTCAAATCATGAAGAGCCTTATCGGTAGCTTCAGTTTACTCTCTGTTTACCTTTAAGTGAAAGTAATTTTACTATCTTCTGTTAAACATGGAAATCAAATTCTCTTCTTATAGAGGCATTATTATATGCAAAGCTGAGATTGGACACTGAGAAATTGAATTAACCACTAAGAAGTATCCAAAACGATGACATTGTGCAGAATCATAAATGCACTGAAGATCAAAATTTAAGCTTTCTTTTTAATATGATTTGGAAACGTCTTAGGATTCCATGTGAATTGTTACTGTTAATATAAATATGCAGTGTGTAATGGCAAAAAGTCTAGGGAGAGCCTATTTGGTTTAGTGGTTAAGACACCAGGCTAAAAACCAAGAGACTCTGATTTCTAGTCCTGCCTTAGGCATGAAAACTGGCTGGGTGACTTTAGGCTAGTTGCTTGCTCGACGCACAATGTGAGGCTCAGGCACAAGCTGGTGGGTCAGTTCTTGTTGCAATCAATGGATCAACGCAATCCATTGATCTGGAAAAAAAAGCATATCCTGTACTTATGGGGAAAACACTAGGAAGGAAGGAAAAAAAAGAAAAAATAGCAAAAAGTCTAAGTTTAATACAAACATAAATCTTTTTCTAAATTAACATACCTGGAGTCAAGTCAGTGGCTTCGCTGCTTTTACAAAACCTGCAAATACGGGCAGAGATCTTAAATGTGTTTTCATCCCACCTGGGATAATATCCCTGATGCATTTCAATACTCTGGATGGTGGAGATAAGTGGTTGTTTTTTCACAGTTTCTGGTGATAGTTTTAATTGGAGGAATCTTGGAGTAAAAAGTACAATTCCTCTTAAAGTTTCTTTTTGATGGTTGTACTATATAATTAGATTAAACTCTCTAGCTCTAATGTTATTTCTGCACATATCACATCTCCATGATCCCAATAGTGGCAGAGGTAGTCCTTGAGTTATGACTGGTCACTTAAAGGCCATACAAAATTCCAACAGATTTATCTTGGGGGTACTTATGACTTGGATTTGATGTTCTGATGGTCGCCTCTCCCTTTTCAGTCACCTGACCGCACTTTGGGTACTTGGCAACTGGGCTACATTTACGGCTGTTTGCAGTGTCTTACAGCCATATAAAACATTTTACAGCTGTTTTGCCGAAACTGGCATGATGAACTATTGTGGTGATTCACTTAATAAGTGCTGCAAAGAAGATCGTAAAATCAATTTGGTCACATGGACAAGGCAAGCTTTATTACTAGCCGATCTTGCATTAAGAAGTAAGAGCCAGAAATCAGAGGTGCTAAAACTTTGAAGTCCAGCATTAAACACTGTAATTGAGCATTGGGGGGGGGGGTGGAACATGGAATTGGTAAGAGCTACCAAACCTATGTGTCTTATTTTCCAAAAAATGCATACAGTTTCACTGAATGATGGGGAAAATGCACTCTAAGAAACAGATTTCTAAGAAAAAAAAATAGAATTCATGAATAGACTGAAATAAAATATAAACCTTAAAAGTTTCTGCTAGTTGCAAAGTTCCATATTAATTTAATCAGAAATTGTCTTTATCCCTTTGGGCATCTATTTTTATTTATTATTTATTTATTTTATTAAAATTTATAGACCGCCCCACTCCTGCAGGACTCCGGGCAGTTTACAATAAAAACACAACATAACTTGACAAACAAACAATACAATAACATTCATCCAGGGGTCAGATTTTATAAACCCCAGGCCTGCCGGAACAGCCAGGTCTTAAGCAGCTTGTGGAAAACCAACAGGGTGGGAGCGGTCCTAATCTCCGGGTGGAGCTGATTCCAAGATGTGGGTGCCATCACAGAGAAAGCCCTCCCCCGAGGACCCGCCAAATGGCACTGCTTGGCCGATGGGACCTGAAGGAGGCCCAGTCTGTGGGATCTAACCGGACGAAGGGAACTATGAGGTAGTAGGCAGTCTCGCAAATAACCTGGCCCTGAGCCATATAGAGCTTTAAAGGTAATAACCAACACCTTGAATTGGACCCGGAGACCAATAGGCAACCAGTGCAGTTCATGGAGGATAAGTGTAACGTGGGTGTACCGAGTAGCACCCACTATCACTTGCTCGGCTGCATTCTGGACCAACTGTAGTCTCCGAATACTTTTCAAGGGTAGCCCCATGTAGAGCGCATTGCAGTAGTCTAGACGTGAGGTGACAAGGGCATGAGTGACTGTAAGGAGAGCCTCCAGATCCAGGTAGGGTCGCAACTGGTGCAACAGACGAACTTGTGCAAAGGTCCTCCCAGCCACAGCCGTCAAATGATGTTCCAATTTCAGCTGTGGATCAAAGAGGACACCCAAGTTGCGAACCCGCTCCGAAGGGGATATATTTTCCCCTGCTAGAGTCAACACTGGACAGTTAACATGATCCTTGGGAGGCAACATCCAAAGCCACTCGGTCTTGTCAGGATTGAGTCTGAGTCTGTTAACCCCCATCCAGACCCTCACGGCTTCAAGGCAAAGGCCCATCACATCAGCCACTTCACTGAGAGAGCTCAGGGGGGGGGAGATATATAGCTGGGTATCATCAGCATACTGATGAAACCTCACCCCGTGCTGTCTGATGATCTCACCCAGCGGCTTCATGTAAATGTTAAATAGGAGGGGGGAGAGGACCGACCCCTGTGGCACCCCGCATTCAAGGGGCCTCGGGGTTGACCTCTGCCCCCCCACCAGTACCGACTGCGACCGGCCAGAGAGGTAGGAGGAGAACGACCGTAAAATGGTGCCTCCCACTCCCACCCCTCCAAGTCGTCACAAAAGGATACCATGATCGATGGTATCAAAAGCCACTGAGAGGTCAAGTAGCACCAAGACAGAGGAATAACCCCTGTCTTGGGCCCGCCAGAGATCATCCATCAGCGCGACCAAAGCAGTTTCTGTGCTGAAACTGGGTCTGAAGCCAGATTGAAAAGGGTCTAGGTAATCCGCTTCATCCAGAGACCGTCGGAGCTGGAGCGCCACCACTCTCTCTACAACCTTCCCCAAAAAGGGGAGATTGGAGACTGAGTGGAAGTTGTTTAAATCATCCGGGTCCAGGGTGGGCTTCTTGAGAAGGGGCCTCACAACTGCTTCCTTCAAGGATTGCGGGAAAGACCCCTCCCTCAACGAAGCATTGATCAACACCTGGAGCCAGCCTCGTGTCACCTCCTTGGCGGCCGAGACCAACCAGGAAGGACACGGGTCCAATAAACAAGTGGAGGCGCTCATTGCTCCCACCACTCTGTCAACATCCTCAGCGGTCACAGACTCAATTCATCCCATAAAACCAAGCTAAGACCTCCCCCAGTCATCTCAGAAGGCCCTGCCCAATTGGAGTCTAGGTCTGTCTGAATCCGAGCAATTTTGTCTGATAGAAACTGCACAAATTCTTCCGCCCTACCCTGTAAGGGCTCCCCGGCTTCCCGAACGTTAAGTAGGGAATGGGTCACTCTAAACAGGGCAGCGGGGCGAGATTCTGCAGATGCAATAAGTGCGGAAAAATGCAAACATTTTGCCGCTTGTATCGCCAGTAAATAAGTCCTAATATAGGCTCTTAAAAGTGTCTGGTCGGGTTCGGAGTTACTAGCCCTCCAGCGTCACTCTAGACGTCTCTTCTGACGCTTCATCTCCCGTAGCTCCTCGGTAAACCAAGGTGCCCTCCGGGATCCACAATCACAGAGAGGTTGCAAAGGCGCGATCCGGTCTAACGCCCCTGATGCCACCTTATTCCAAGCAGCAACCAAGGACTCAGCCGGTTCGTGGAGGAGGGAATCAGGAAAACCTCCAAGCGCTATTCCGAACCCTGCCGGGTCCATTAACCGCCTGGGGCGCAACCACCTAATCGGTTCCGCCTCCCTGCGGTGGGGGAGTAGAAACTGAGAAATCTAACCTCACCAGGAAGTGATCCGACCATGACAAGGGAGAAGTAACTATACCCCTTAAATCGAAATCATGTCTCCACTGCCCCGAGAGGAATACCAAGTCGAGCGTGTGTCCTCCCTATGGGTTGGACCCTGAATTATCTGGGTCAGATCCATGGTTGTCATGGAAGCCATGAACTTCTGAGCCGCACCAGAGGATTCGCCGAGTGACAGCAGGTTGAAATCCCCCAGCACCATAAGCCTGGGGAATTCCACCGCCAACCCGGCTACCCCCTCCAGCAGCTCAGGCAGGGCTGTTGTCACATAGCTGGGAGGCATGTATGTCAGCAGCAAGCCCAACTGAACCCTTGAATCCAACCTCAAGAGAAGGGACTCACACCCAACAACCTCTGGGGCCGGTATCCTGTGAGGTCTCAAGGATTCTCGGACAAGAATCGCCACTCCCCCACTCCTTCCCTGGAATCGCGGTTGGTGCATTATCTGAAACCTGTCTGGGCACATCTCCGAGAGAGGAACACCTCCCTCTTGGCCCAGCCAGGTCTCAGTGATACATGCCAGGTCGGTCTCCTCATCCACTATCAGGTCCCGGATGAGGGGAGCTTTATTAATAACTGACCTGGCATTAAGAAGCAGCAACCTGAGGCCAGGGTCCTGAACACCCCCCTCTCCAGGTATTGGAGAAGAGTCCAAGGGGCTGGAACAGGTAATCGCTTTAACACAGCGAGTCCTTGTTCCCTGAAGATGGCCCACCCCTTGTCTCCCGCCATATCTACCTCTCCCTATAATAACCGGGATGTTCCAGCCCACCTCCACCCCCGAAAACTCCCCACCCACCCCGCAGGTCTCCTTCCCACCATCCCCCCCTCTCGGCAGTCCACATCTCACATTCATATCGAGCCGGGAAGTACATCTGCCCCCCCCACTTCTGTTTACACACTCAGCAGAGGGGGCACCAATTCTCATTCCCAGCTCCATCACTCACACCCATACGCACCCTAATACAATAAAAACTAAAATAAATAAATAAAAACAATCAGTCATACTGTCAGCATACGCTGGCTGAGGGATTCTGGGAGTCAGAGACCACAAGTCACAAAAGGGCCATGTTTGAAAACCCCTGTATTAACACCACTGCAATGGCTAGGCTGGGACATCTCTTTTGGCTGTGCTCTTTTCCCTTCTGCAGCTGCTGGAGGCGATCCAGGAGCCGAGGGCTTGGGTAGTAGGGAAAGAAACAAGCACCCAAGTCCGCCACAAAGAAAGTGGAAGAGCTCACACGATGCTCTTCGAGTTCTGCGACTTCTGGCTGCTGCCGGTTGCCACAAGTGGCATCCGTTCCGGCATGGCTCCTGGAGGATGGGGCGGGCACGGCGGAAGCAGCGGCTCCCCTCCTTGGTGATGGTGGTGACGGCAACAACAGGATGGCGTTGACCGGGCTCCTGTGGCGCGCGGCAGCCCCACTGGTCTCGCAGGGCCGGGCCGGCGAGCATGACCACACGGTGAGGGGGTGTAGCCCGCCCGAGGCCACGGGGAGAGACAGGCCTGCTTTTTCTCCTCCTCCTTCTTCCCTTGCCCTCTGAATGTATATTATCCTATGAAGAATAATATACATTCAAAACTAACCCTAAAGAAATCGAAAACTCATTCCAGTCAAAATTGTTAAAATGTTTTTGTTAAAAGGATAATGGTATAATATTTAGTATACTGTATCTTTCTTCATTCTGGTTCCCTTCTGGATGTGTTGAATTCCAAATCC